GTACGCTCATGTCTGTCCAGCCAGAGGCTCCCCCTCCAAGCCAGCCATCTCCTGGCAAAGTGCCTCCAAAAATTGTATTCAGCGATGCCAGCAAAGAAGCTGGTCCCAAAGCCCCGGGGGCGCAGGGACGGGCTGGTGCTGCACCAGCCGCGAAGCCGGGCAAGCTGGAGCAGGGCATCAAGCCAAAGGAAGTGCCGAAAGCAAGGGTTTCGTGCCCCCTCTGCAAGGCGGAGATCAACGTGGGCTCCAGCGAGCCCCCCAACTACAACACCTGCACGACTTGCCGACAACAGGTCTGCAACATGTGTGGCTTCAACCCCACGCCTCACCTGGTGGAGGTAAGGGGGCTGGTGGGGGTGGGCGCCTTCCGAGCCAAGGGTCCTACTCTCACCTCGCCTGAAGTGGAGAAAAGATGGTGTGTTTTCCTTCAAAGCTGGTAAAAAAGCCTTTAAGAAGCTGCTGAAGGCAGGTCCCTCCTGGGGGAAGCCCCAGGGTTGGAGGTCATGCTCCTCCGCCTCTAGATAAAGCCATGCATTTCATATGTGTACCCTGATTTTTTTTCTGTTTTCATGCAAGGAGTGGAGCAAGGGGTGTCTGTTGTTTGGGGCACCCTCTCGGTGCCCACCACTCCCCAAAGGTGTTCAAGGGGTCCATGAACGGGGTGAGGAAATAGAAATAGGTCATGCAGGTGCCAGAGTCACCAACAAGCATCTTCCTCCTGGTGCTGTGGATGGACGCCTTGGCCAGGCTTGGGAGGAGGCTGAGGAATGATGTCCTGCAGTTCCTGCATCCTCAGATGGTAAGGGTGCAAGGAACGTGGTATGGGGTAGGAAGGCGGCAGGACATCAGCAAGAAGATTTCAAATCAGCTGAGGGCACACAGTGTCCTGTGGAAGTCTGCTGCCCTCTCCAGATGGTAAGGGCCTTGTGCCGTTGTGCCTGGGGGCCAGGCTGGGGAGCGGGCTGAGTGGAGGATGGATGTGGAGACATCCACGGTGTCATTTGGATATGGATTGGCTGGGGGTCATGCAGCCTGATGAGACGAGGCGCAAGAAGAGGAGAAGGAGGCGGAGGTGGTCTGGGGTCCACCCATTCTCACCAACAATAGAATCATAGAATACTAGGTTGGAAGGGACCTCAAGGATCATCTAGTCCAACCTAATAGTCTAGGAGGTCTCTGAATTGTTGCAATGCGCACCCAGATCATCTTCCCAAGCACCAAAAAGGCATCTTAGCCAACTCTAGCTACCAGTGCCTGGAGAGGAGAGGGGAGTGGTGCAACTGGGGCTCAGCTGGAACAGCATCCTACTCCCTCCTCCCCCCTTGCTAGCTAGGGAGAGAGATCTTCCAGACCCCCGGAGAAGACCTCAGTTAAAGTCTAGACCCTCACTCCCTCCTCTACAGGCAATTTGAGAGCATTATGAGAGGACACCCAGGGCTTTCTTCTGGAAGTGCTGCATCTTGCAGCCAGTAAGACACAAACCCGGTATCATCAGCTCATGTTAATGGGAACTTTAAATGACCAGAAGTGGGATTGCTAATCTTGGCTCCGCTCCATGGCAGATAATTACATCTTGTATCCCCAGCTCCTCCCTGCAGTTTCAATTACACCCAGTAATTTTCTCCTTTTTCCGGAAGCTGCTGCTGTGCATGGTCATGTTGGCGGTGGCAGAGAGCCGCTCTCCCAGTGCAGTGCACAGCGTGCATGTGGAGGTGTAAACCCATCAGATGGCCGCCTCCTTGTACATAACGCCCTTCTCGGTTGCAGTGCTCATTGCTTCCTTCCTACCCTGAGGGCTTGGGTGAGAAGAGAAGGTGTCTGAGCTTTGCATAGTCCCTTGGGTAGGGCTGAAGCCCCGTGTTGGCATGCCCTTGGGCAATGATGTGTTTCCAAGCTTCAGAAAGCTCATGGGTTGATGATTTGGCTTTAATGTGCTCCCCTTGCACCCACCTGTTAATTAATTAATTAGAGTATTAATTGGGGTTGGGTTGTACCCAATAACATGGTGCTCTCTGCAGGTACCTCAGAAAGGTGACCTCTCCCCAGCACTTGTCTCCAGGGTCAGTAGCTGACGCCTGGGATTAAATTTCAGATTTTGAAGGCTGGACTCTGCCCAGCTCCCTCAGTTCTTGAGTAAATGCCTTCAGACACCCTTGACAGTCTCACCCTTGCACATATGGCTGTCTTGAGGTTTCTTGCTGCCACTCATCACTGCGATCTCCGCTTGACTTCATGCAGAAGACCCCCAGTGAGGTCCCACCTGGGCTTTGTGGTGTCTTGGGTTTTGCTTCCCTGTACACAGAACCCCTATCCAGCTCGGAACAGATGGGTTGGTTTATGGGATTTGGTTTTTTTAAGAGTTGAGGAATAAATGCAACACTAGAGCTGTGAATGTTCTTAACAAACACTTTCGGTGAAGAGGATTGCAAGATCTGGTAATGCAGTTGGGCTTTTGGTTTGCTTGATCTTCTGAGAAAATTGCTCTGTGGTCTGATCCTCTTTTTGCCTGCAGCTCACATGAGCTTGTCCTGAGCCCTGAGATTCACACACATACCAGAACTTGTGCTTTGAAGTAGCAGGGCTTGATCTGTTAATTGCTTTATGAATTAGGACCTTGACTGTAAACTGCCCTTGGAAGCTGCATGCAAACTAATGAGGAGATTTGAGCCGAGGTTGGGAACACGCAGAGGAGGGTGAGCTGCGGGTGAGACAGGCAGCACCCGCTATACCTGCTGCTGGAACCAGGGCACGGTCTGCACCCCCGACTTCAAACGGCATGAGTCGCAGGGAGCGAGAGGGCATGGGCCACGGTGGCCTGGTTTTTGGAGGAAGGACGGAGTTTTGCAGCAGAACAGGGCTGAAAGGATCCATTTTCTGCAGATAAAGTTGTACTGTCACTGCAAGCAGTCGAGGCTTTGTCACGGTGTTGGAGGTGGGCTACATGTGATTATAGTTTCATAGCAAAACTGTGCAACCAACCTGGGAGGGGAAAAACCTCTAAATAATGTTTGCATCCTCACACAGGACAAGTGTTTTTGCTAACTAGGTCACTTCCGCTGCTGGAGAGGCACTAATGAACTTGCTCTCCCTGTATTGGTGCGGGCTGTCGCAGCTCAGTGGGGAACATCACCTGAACAGAGACTGGTGCTTGTTGGGGGGCTGGATGACCCCAGGAGTACGGTGGGAGACGGAGGGCACGCTGGCAGCACCTCTTCCCGGTGGGGACCCCAGGTCCTTGGTGGCATCACGTGTAATGCTGAGGGCGAAGGGCCTCCTAACACCCACTAACCCTGGTGCTTCAGCATGCCCTCACCTCCAAATTCATTGCAGACATTGAGGAATAGTCCCTGTGAGTGGCTGGGATGGATCTTGGAGGGAGCGTGTGGCCAGAGCAGGCCTTTGGGAAGGGGAGCTGCGTGCTCAGAGAGACCTCCTGAAATGCAGTAGCCCACTGATGGAGGTGAGACCGTGCTAGGCTGTTGTGTGCTGCTGGAAGCAGACCTCCTGTCTTTCTGCTGGGAGGATGGGTGACCGGTGCGACATGGCAGGTCCCAACTAATCCTGCCCCATCAGGAGGGGCAAGTAGTCAAACCTCTGGGCCGCTCTCAGCAGTGGGGGGGATGCAGGAGGTATTGCTGTTTGACGATTGCTGTTATGAAATGGAGAGAAAAAAAAACCTGAGTGTGAAAGGAAGAAAGCAGGGAAGGCTTGCTCCCCTATCTGCAGCCCCCTGAAACTTGTGATTTCCCCCTGGAAAGATGCACTATTATTTATCCATGGTATTTTCATCCCCATCCCACTCCTGATCTAAAGATGGAGTCAGAGGCTCCGTGTCCCTGTCGTCCCCTCCCACCCCCTGCAGCTGTCTGGGGAGGTATCCAAGGAGCTGCCTCCTCCCCAGCGCTTCAGTCAGCTGAGCGCACTCAAACGGAGCAAAAGAGAAGAAAATACTAAAATTGCCTTTCCCCCCCCCCTGTGGCCTCACTGGCTGAGTTGCATCAGTGCCTAGCCCCCAGAGGAGAAGGGTGGCTTGCACTTTCCTTGTTAACTTTGCACTGCTGTGGGCCGAGTGCTCCTGCGGTCTGGTCCAGCTTCAGGTGGCTCCAAGAGCATCCCTCCTGCTCCCACAAGATCCACCACCAGGGATGACTTTCAAAGGAAAGGCCCTGGGTCTCAGGGAGTTTCTGGCCAAGGTCAGAAGACGATGGTGAGGACTGGGACCCTAGGACACTTGAAGAGCTCACGTACAAGCGTGGCATTTTGGCAGTGCATCCCAGGGGAAGCGCGTGGACCGTGGTGCCCATGGCTCTGGATGACCAGCAGAGAGAGGAAGCCCAAAAGTGCTCTAGACCTCCACTTCTCTTGCTTGCTTGCCATGCTACATGTTACCTAGCTTTTAATAAGTTGTTTACATGAGTTACCAGAAGTACAGGTGCCTGGAGCTTCCTCCCACCTCATCACACCTCCTCCAGGAGCCAGCTCCTGGGAACAGCACCATGAGCTGTTCCCACGAAGTCAGAGCTGGCACTTGGGGCTCTCCCAGATTCCCTACAGCCTCAGCCTGGCGATGCGCAGGCAGGGAAGAGGTTTCCGTGGCAGGAAGACCAAGTGCTGGGCTGTTTTGCTGGGGATTTAAGAACTCACGCCAGTTTACAGCAGAGTCTAAGGGAGCAAGTGATCTGGCAGGAGCTGGCTTGGCACGTGGTTGCCCTGCGCTGCATGGTGCTTTCCCGGTAACCCTGACTGACCCCAATTGACTCTAGGGGTCTTGTATTAAGGAACAAATGAACTATGTGTGTTGTGTTACTAAATAAGCATGGCAGGATGCCCCTTTGTCTAATTAACCAGCCTGAAACAGGAGCTGTGACAAGTTTTACTAATCCCTGGGTGCCAGGCTGTGACCCCCAGTGGGTGCCTTATCCTCAGGAGGGTGCTCTTACTGATTCATGGTACCCGCCTCACAGCATCTGCATCCTAAAATTGCATTTGTGTTCTTGCTTTCCCCATGTGTTACAAAGAGCATCCTTTTTATAATGCTTGCGTTGTCATGGGCATGCTGCTGCCTGTCCCTGCCTGGTCTCAGCAGTGAATGCTGTTACCTTCCTTATTATATGCATTATATACATATAATATATATATATATTATATATTATTGTACATTATTATATGCATATAATATATATTATATACATTACTTTATTAGACATTATTGTATACATTATATGCATATAATGTATATATACATTATCCTGGATGCGATATCGCAAGTCAACAAGATGCAGGAGCAGCATTTGCTTGGGTCCTTTGTGGGACAACTTCCCCTTCTGCTAATCCCCTT